CAGTGGGAGGCAGGAGAGCAAGTACACAAGCAGGGCGAGGTTGGGGGCTGCGGGGCACGAGTGTGGACGGCGGGACACCGACCACACGTCTCCACCTCTGCTGCTGTTCTTGATTCTGCTGATGATGTTGCTGCTCCCGCCGCTGCTGGCCGCATATCACACGCCCGTAGCATCCCGATGCAGAGCTTTCCCCGCCTATGCTAGGTCTTACTGTCAGACTCTCAAACAGATGATGCTGGCAAGCCCAGGCAGGGCCTAGGCGATCAGGGAGCACGATCATTGTGGTGAAGAACCCAGGACGAATTGTAAAGATAAATAATTATTAAGTGTGGGTGCCGTTGTGCAACTGGAGATGAAAGTCCATGGATGTGAAAGTATTTGGACAAAGAGAAAAGGCCAATTTAAAAAAATACCATTGCAAAAAAAAGTAATCACCAAAAGGAAATAATAATCAGCCACACAGACACAACGATACATTTGGGCTCTATTCAAGTTCATAGCACTCATGGGGAAACCTTGGCAATTAATACAAAAGACTTTGAACTACACAAACATTGTGAAATCTACTTATAAAATGCTATATTATGCGTGTAATTAATGTGTCCATGAAATAAATCAATTGCAGTTTAACTCATTCTGGATCAAGCAGAATTGAGGATAGCATCCAAATACAATGCTGGAAAACAATTATAACACTATGGAACACAATTTTTGTTCCTGGGTAGTAAGTATCATTTCGTAATTGCTTATGCATAAAAAGTATAGAAAATGGCTATTCCCCACAAACGTTGTTTTTGTGACCAGGACAGTAATATTTTGAAATTTACCTATTTTCAATGATAAAACGGGCGAATTTGTGTATTTTCGTTCACATAAAGTCAGAAAAAAAAACATATGAATAAAAATTTGCATGTATTTATACTAAAATCATACAAAAATAACTACTAAAGATTTAGAAGTGAGTAATTTTTCGAGATTTACGATTATACTGTAAATCACTTTCACGAATCAGCCCCCAAATGTAATCTCCCATCATGTTCTCGTTATACTGTCCTTGGTAGCGGCGTTCAAAAGTCCAGTATATCCTGGTGAAAACGCTCACCTTGCTCCTCCGAGTACGCCCCCATGTTCTCCTTGAATTTATCAAGATGAGCATCAAGGATATGGACTTTGAGGGGCATCCTCCAGCCCATTGTGCCGTAGTACTTCACCAGATTCTCAACCAGCTCCACATAGTTTTCGACCTTGTGATTGCCCAGGAAGCCACAAACCACTGCGACAAAGCTGTTCCAAGCCTCTTTCTCCTTACTAGTGAGCTTCTTGGGGAATTCATTGCACTCCAGGATCTTCTTTATCTGTGGTACGACAAAGACTCCTGCTTTGACCTTTGCCTCAGACAACTTAGGGAAGAAGTATTGAAGGTACTTGAAGGCTGCCGACTCCTTATCTACAGCTCTGACAAATTGTTTCATAAGGCCCAATTTGATGTGCAGTGGTAGCATTAGCACTGTCCGGGGGTCCACCAGTGGCTCCCACTTGACGTTGTTCCTCCCCAGAGAACACGGTCCACTGTGGCCAGTCCCGCCTGTGGTAGTGCACCTTGGTGTCCTTGCTGTCCAAAAAGGTTGGTGACGCTTCCTCTAATCTGCGACTTGCACACTTTCAATCTTGATTTGAAGCTTTCGTGACTGCAGGAATCCATACTCTTTGGTTCTTTCGGTAAAGTCACGTAGGTAGAAATAAAAAAATAAAACAAATCACGACGTTTCGATCGCAACACAAGCAATCTTCATCAGGTTCAACCACTGCAAGAAAATGCTGAAGTAGGCGAGAGAGCTGCCGTGGCAAGAGGTTATCCAACAAGTTCCACTGCTTGAGCCTAGATGTCAAAAGCTCGGCATTGGTCTTGGTGAGACGAAGATCTCTGATCAAGTCGTTGAGGTATTTTTGGTTGGGGTAGTATAGGTTTCTCTCCTCAGCTCCACCTCTGAAATTGTCATCTGGATTTGCAACGTCTTCCTCGCTCTCTGACTTGCTGTTCTCTTCTGAAGATGGCTGCTCTCTCTGGAGGAGTTTGGTACGGGGAGCTCATGGCAGTATGGCTCTGGGGCGATGGATAAAGGAAGGTCCAGATACGTGATAGCAGGTGCATTCTTGCCAGTCCGATGTTTGGAAGGGTACACCATGCAGAAGTAACAGTTGCTTGAGTGATCAGTGGGTTCCCGCCAAATTCTTGGGATTGCGAACTTCATGCCTCTCTTTTCCCCTCTGTACCATCCTACAAAAATAATTTTACTTCACCCATGACTAATGTGTAAGAGATTCTCGCAACATTTTTGATATATTATATATTTTTTTAATAACGTAAAAAATTCAACAAAAAACTTACAATTTTACAAATTTTAACAAATTTTATAAAATAAATTTCCGAGCAACAATTGTCCATCTTACCTTACAGAGTTTTTTTGCATTGCTCGCAGGTGAAATGAGGTGCCCAAGGTTTGTCTTGATCCCTAATAGGCATGCGGAAATATGCCTTGTAGGCCTCACACATCTTAGCAGATGCTTCCACAGAGTACTTTTTCGCTCTTGTCTTGATAAATTATACTACTGGAAAGTTCTGGAATGTTATAGAAGTTACTCCAAGTGTACTAAGCACCGAATCTATCTGGAATGTTTCGTAAATAAAAGGTAAATTTCGAAATATCAATGTCCTGGTTACAAAAGCAAAGTTTCTGGGGAAGAATATAAATGTTCTGTAATTCGGAAATAACACTTACTACCCAGGTACAAAATAAATTGTTACACAGTGTAATAGTTAAAATCATTCACAGTCATATGTATACTTCATCTGTTTAAGCTTTTTTTGTCATATAAGTGAAAGGAAAAGCATATTTTTTTTTAAACACATAACATATGAAGATTAAAAAATATTCTCATTTTGTAATGCACATACGTATCGATCAAAGTTTAGTTTCTTATAATAAGAAATAATTTGTTCAAGATAAATTTGCCATCGGCATTGATTATCTGGATCTATGCCACCACCTGTGATAAAGAAAAATGTTAACAGAATCAGTGTCACCAATTGAGAGCTACTGTTTGATGTCTCTTTGTTATTAACGGCACAGGGTGCAGAGCTTGTCAAGTGTGGATTCAGCTCATGGTTATTATTTCTCATTATGCTTGTATATGTAGGAAAGCTTCACAGAGTCTCATTACTCTTTTTAGGAGGGTCTTGCCAAGTTTTTCACAGTACGGGAGGGGCGATGATTGGTATGCATAATCCCAAATGGGCATACTTGTCAACCCATGCGGTTTACCCGTATTCTTGTACAAGGAAATTGAGTTTGATGGTCCATATGGCGTACAATCGTTTAAATACGGGCAAACATTTTTAAATCTATTTGTTTGTGTTTCTCCCTTGTGATGGGACTTTGTAGGATGAACGTTGAGATTTATAAGGGCACGGGGTGACCAATAAGGTCTGAATTGGTCTGTAACAAAGTAGGCACTGATATAATGGGTTGACAGGTATGGTAATGTGTGGGAAATTTTGCCCAAGCGTGAACCGTGACGTCGATACACAATTGCTTACACGTGCGAATTACGGCACTGGATCTTTGACAACATTGTGCATTTTTTAAATCAATGCGCCTGCATTGTGCATTTTTATAGCTGAGCTTTGCCACTGTATTTGAACTGTGAACATCCTACGATAAGCAGCGAACACACTCCCGCTAGACCATTTGACAGTGTTGCTGAAATAATTATAAGCCTGCCTTATCATCATCATTTGCATGTGTCGAGTTGAAGGATGGCATCCCACCTGTTAAGGTAGGAAGCTGTCGATGTATGTATGTTGAATCTCTTTCGCACCGTACATAGCCAACCGTGCTAAACGTAGTTCTAAAAACACATCTAAATAAATACATACGGTGTAAGAGTCAAACTGTTCAGTGACATGCTTGATAAAGGATACGGAATTTTATAATGGCGGTTTTTGAGTTTGTGAGCCCTTTTAAAATGGTCAAATTTTTTTTTTACTAAAGAGTAAAGAAACTTCAATAGTGGTTGTCCTGTGGACAGACTGTTCCTTGCCATAGGAATGTGAATTTCAAACAATATATCAGGTCTGCCTGTGGAGATGCGCTCATACTCATTGAATACTTTTTTTTTCATATACCTGAGCTTGGCTGAAGTAAGCAGATTTTTGTTCATACACCATACACGATTGTATGCAGTAATTTTTACTGGGATAAGATATAATTCTACTTCATAGCTAGCTTTCATCTCGGGTGGAAGCTCAGCTTTTCGAGCTCAAGATCTCAGCGGCGCTCACTCACTATTCTGGCGTTCACAAGCACCACCTCTCTGAGTCATCTGGCCACCTTCTCGTCACTGTCATTGCTAATTTTTTCCCTCACCTCAGGGGGGCAAGCTTGCTCATCTCAAGCTGTTTGCCCTAAAACAACCACTTCTCTTGCAGCTGCTGCTGCAGTAAAACATCAATTCTGTTCTAATTCCCCACCCCTGTCCAATCCAAACGCTGCACTGGTGTTTCGATGGCCTTTTTGAACCCTTTCTCATTCCGGTGACGTACGTGTACGCACGTGTATGTTTTCGGAATGGAATCGGAAAGGAAAACAATTAATAAAATAACTTTTGTCACAAGGCCATGCAGGAGGGTGTGTTGACAGTTTGGCGCCAGCTGTCATAGATTGGCGGTCGTGTTGCTACAGTTCTCTACAGTGAGTACAATGTCATTGAAAACAACGGTGCTTAGCCTCTCTAAATGAAACTAACGCTGAACTGCTTGAGCTTTCCAAGATTCAGCGGCGAACAGGACCCCACCCTGCAACTTGCAGGCGTCTCGGAACGAGAAAAAGTGGTTAAGCGAACACACATTTTGTGACCTCGAATCTTCTCGTATCGTTGCTCAAGCCATTGTCGTGACACTCCTACCCACCCTATCGTCCCCCCCGCCCCCGCTGAAGCAGAACCCCGTTGTGCTGGACGTGAGACCCGGTTCGGCGACGGTGCCCATGAATAACGCCATGCAGCACCTCTCGGCCGAGGCGGAGGAGGAGGGCGGCTACGAATGTCTGGACGGCAAAGACTGCTCCAGCTTCTTCTGCTGCTTCGAGGACTGCGAGCGGCGGTCGTGGAAAGAGGGCCGGATCCACATTCAGGTCCTCAAGCTCGACTCGTACTCGCGCGTCTTCTTTCCCATCTCCTTCACGCTCTTCAATCTCGTGTATTGGATCGCGTACCTTTACCTGTAAAAAATGGGTTTGTTGGAGAAACAAAGACGTGCAGAAATGAGAAACAGGAAAGGAAAAAAATAAACCGAAATGGCAATTAAGGAAACTCAAAAAGAACAAGCGCCACCGCCCATCCACCCATGGTCGCAAAACTTTTTTTGAATTCCTGTTGCCGTGCGACAGGAAAAGCGTGACCTCAGCTGGGTTACCTAAAGATAGCGCTTGCATCTGATCACGCCTCCCTCGGAGGCGGAACTACTCCACACTGAACAGCAGCAAGTGTATGTCTGAGTGGCTGATGTAAAATATCGTGTATAGCAATTGCATAAATAATGTGTGAGGAGGAGAAATTATATTTACTAAATATGTTAATTTTCTTCATATTGGCGATTCTAAAACAAACCGACTACTGCTGTTAAAATTCTGAAAAGCGTTAATTACGGACAATGTGACGGAATTTGGGGTTTCTGCTTGACTTAGGTCAATTCTTAATTGTTCCTTGTTAAAATTAAGTAAACACACATCCAATTATGATATTGTCTAGAGTTACATTTACGTTAAAAATGTATGGCAGTCAACGCCAAAATTCATAAATTGGTACAAAAACTAAAGTGAGGGAAAAATATATACGCGCGTTTGTGTGTTTACATTTTACATAACTTACAGGCACTGAATAATACCGTTTGAAACATGATGTGAGAGCACTGTAAATACCATATTTTCTTGAAGTGTGAGGCACTTCGGAGGGAAGATTATGAGAAGACTCCACGTGTGAAGCTGCTGACATTGTTGTGTCATGGTTACAATCGGTGCTGCTTTCAAAGCACACTGCAAAGAGTCTGGGTATGCAGGCATGAGGTACCCATTTCTTGTTTAATGCTTTCACCTGAAATTGATTTCTTAAACTGTTGTCAGTGTTGCATTATTATAATGATTATTACGGATGAGTTTTCATGACAGGCTACACGTCACAGAGATGCTTGTCAGCTGTAATGGTTATTACCAAGATCAATGCTAAATTCTCACAATTTATGTATGTTGAAATTATTTCGCATTGTATGCAGCCAACAGCGCAAATTGAAGGTCCGGGGGAAGGACAACAAACTATACACACGCAAAAAACATGACAAGGGTTTCACAAACTTTGGTAAATGTCAGCCATATGTAGCTCTCCCCCTCAATGAGTCGTTAACATCATTAGACCTCCTTTGCTAGTACCAAAATATATTAATAGGGTTTTTCCCCTTTTTTTTCTGGCAACAAAACTGAAACCTTTTTACAAGGATTCATGTCTGCATTAACCACAATACTTGCAGTCAAAATGCAAACAAAAAACATACTATGATAATATATGCATTGTCCTTGAAACTGATTGGTCCACATCAAGGGATGCTTTCTTTTGAGCCTCGACCCAATTGGTGCTCGACCAGAGGACGCCAAAAGGCGTACAGCTCAAGGTTAACGAGTCGTTAACCTTAACCGAAATATGAAGATTATGAATCATTTTTTTGTAGACACTTCCTGGTGCTTGCAATGATATATTTTTCCACATTTGCAGGTTAATCAGTGAAGTACACTCCTAAACTAGTTTCAATTTGTAGGGATATCAATGATTTATGCTTATACAGCCTGAATATTTCCACATGAGGGACTCGTCAACATGGTGTGACACGTGTTAATTCGGCAAGTGATAATATCAGAGCTGTGTACGAATGCGGCGTCAATAAGTATGACTTGTCCACTCTTTGTGAGTCTGATCAACAGTTCTGACCAATACACAAGTACAATGTAGGGGAAAAAATCTCTGCCAGCTTTACCACCTTTCCAAATATGGGGGTATATGACATGCACTTATTCTGAATCCATGCAAGCCTTCTTTCATTTCAAATTGATTGTGTTTGGATTATTCAATATGCCAGGCCCACTATGGAATATCTCAGTCATCCAGGGTTCAGAGCGGTAAAACTGCACGGTTCCCCGACCTGTGATAGCGATGGACACAGGATCACCAGGCCCCCGATTGCCCCGTGGGTTTAGAAACACGACGAGTGATATCTTACATGGCATTGGGGGAAAAGGGCCCAACGTGTGATTTAATTTATGGCGCAGGGTGACCTTAATCCACGCCTCATATGCATCCTGTCAAAACACTTGATCAGCCAAAATCCATGACGCTGACAACACGGGTGAAAGGCCTGAAACAGAAGTGGGTATTCTTCGAGGGCATCTTGTGAAACGTTTGAATGCTTACGAACAAGGTGGCTGGACCGATCTGGCTCAGGCTAGCGTACCGAGGGGGAAGGGCTAGGGCTTTTTACAGTATTTTACACTTATACTCTGAACACTGTACATTGCAAAAACCTGGAGATTTTGTCCACTGTACGTTCGAATAAGCTTCTTAGCAGAAAACTGTTTCCAGGCAGGAAATACAACCGTATGTGTCATGATTGGTCCGTTGTCTATGGTAGTTACTCAAAGCATTTTATATAACAAATACTGAACCTTAAACTGGAATGCATGTATGTTTACTAGAGCATATAAACACCACTACTTTGAAGCTTTTGTGATTCAATCCAATCTAAGAAGGGTAAGCAAACGTTTACAACCTGAATTACACGGAAACTAGGACAGATGCATTTGCAATAAAACAGTATACATAGTTATCTAAACACATTTATACTGATCCAGGTAATGAGGTTATGCAGAAGAGTCATTGTTATGCCTTGCATGCCTTACTTAATATCCATACACATTGTGAAATTCTAAATGTGAATTCTGCAGTATATTACAAGGTCAAGCCTTCTTTTTTTTTGCGGTTTTAGCGGAACATAGAGACTAAATGAATTAACATGATCTCCGAGTGTGGTACACTAACATACTCTACCATGCCTGAAATTGAAACAATGTAAGCGGTGATATACATGTCAGTTTTACAAAGGGACAAGAGCAGATTTTATCATGACCAGTCTCATGCATCTCTTCATTGACTTTGGCCCATTATGTCAATTGACTTTAAACCATGAAGACATCAATTATTACAAATTACCTAATAATAGTCATTGTTTGAAAATGTAGCTCACACTTATATGCTAATTACTTATTTGAAATTTAAATTCACACTATAGTTTTCCCCCAAGGTCAAGGTAATGCGTATCTTAGTAAGGATTTTTTTTTGGGGCCAACAGTGCTAAACTACTGTCTCTATCAAGTATTAGACCACAAAGTGGGATATTATGACATCACAATATTTCATAAGATTTTGGAATTATTTTACCATCTGTTCACATAGTCACGGCATTTTATTTTACCAACAATAGGCAATGGTTACTGGAATATGCCAGGAAACATTTTTACATTTAGGCTGAGAGTGTTATCCAGGGTAATGTAAAAGTGTTATTGTGACCAATCGAGCTGTGGACAGTGTTCATATCCTTTGAGGGCTTAAGCCTAAAGCCAATTTATCGACCCAAAAATGTATATTGGGCTGAGTTGATTCCTGGTCAGGAATTTATGCCCAAATCATCCTCTAGAGGTGATAAAATGAGTACAACATCGTGGGAGATTGACCGTGGCTGTGATATGGCATGACTGACCCCTGCCATATCAAGATAATTTCTACCACTGGCCACGCGTAGGATATCATCGATTCAAATATCATCACAGTCTATTGAGACCGCTTAACTGAGTGTAACCCCCTCTACTAAAACTGATACTTTTCTGTGAACTGCCATACACATTTCCAACTGAGGGATAAAGTGATACCATTGAATAAAGTTTGCATCACTTGAGATGCAGACAGTACATTTTTCTAAGCATAAGGGCTAACAATACAATCTGAAGCGGACAATATACAGGGCAATGCCGTTCAGTGTGGATATCATACTTACACATTTGCTGTTTGTGTTGTGATAAAGCAGCACGGAGAGAAGGAAGTGCCCCATCGTTTATTGGCTCTTAACATTTTACCAAAACATAAGCTGTGCCACCTTGTCTATGTGTTTAACTCTGCCAGATATAGATATATGGCTTGATAGGATTCCTTATTTAAATTAATTTTGGCTTTGACCGATTTTATTGTCTACGGTAATGTATACAGATGGACTATTTCTCTTGGATTGCTGGCAACAAATGATTACAGCACTGGGGTTATTTAGATAACAACTTTAATATTTTACAAAAATACAGACAAAACATGTTCTATAAACTTTACCTTCTACGTCAGCATTATTCGACTCAATTATGCAGTGTATGTGTAATGCACCTTTTAATTATGGACACTTTTAAAATGATGTTTTAAGATCAAGTATCTGTAAAATTGTCCACTTGCTTATTTGGCCAGAAACCAACTTAGCTCGTTCTTTTTTTATTTTTAAATCAGTCCAACAATGCAATTTAAGAGTAGGATTCAAACAACTGTTGGGTGGCACTTTTATCCACGATTGGTCCTCAGACCAGGCCAATGTGTCAGTGCTCATATGCATTGGTGGTCCCGTTCTTCTCAAAGGCAGGGGCCAGAGTCCACGTAGGATTCCCGCTGGTAATTTCCCATAAGGCGTTGCTCGCTTTGTAGACTTGAGGAAACATGGTGGGCTGGGTTGACTCCCAACTGGGAATTGAGCTCATGACCTCATCGTTTGAGATGAATGCACTCACTGTGCAGGTAGCCAGGCTGGTTGAGAGAATTATTCATTATCTTGGCATGGGCCGGTTACCCATTAGCACTCCTACTCCTGTTGACTATGATCTCGGAGTGTATTTGTGTGTTTTTTACACAATTTCAAGTAAAACATTTATCACAAATATTAGAATACAAACGTATTTAGGTGTTTTTTGTTGCATAAATGTAAAAAAAGCTTGATGTAAAAGGAATAAATTTATATTAATGGTCATACCAGAAATGTTAATGCCTTCGTTTATCGCCACCCCAATTTAATAGTGTGTTTTTTTTTAGAAAACTGGGAATGCCGAACTATTTGCATGCTCACGTCTGCAAGCTGAATTTAACACATCCAGTAAAATAGCAAATCACTATATACATGCTACCACTATATTGCTTCATCCCTAAGATGACATATTTATTATACAGTCCTTATTATATCTGTATGTGACAAAATATTTCATAAACGCACAAATAATATTTTTCAGTCATTTTAAATTTCAGAATTCTAGCCACACCTTTGTATGCATTGCAGTGCAGTGTGTTATTTAAAGCCTATCCGAGCCAATGTGTTGCTTTCAAACTCTAATACACGTGAGCATGCAGGCACATATGCTGCGAAAGCTATCAATACTTCCTAATCTACACCTTGTTTGTAAATGTGCAAAGCTCCCTCAAGCGAGAGTAATCTCACTTGTATATTGATCTGTTGAGGGGCTTGGCTGCACTGATATTAAAAAGGTGCCAGGGAGGCAACATTTGCGTCCACACCTCTTGTACAAAATCAACACAAGTTAATGAAGAACAACATTGAATAAGCGAGTGTAGTACAAATTGAACAAGAATCCTCAGTTTTTATTATTCTGTGAACATACGCTCTGTGGGTTATGCTTAGCTCCACGTTTTATTTTTCAAGTTATTGAGTGCATCGTGCAAATACGAACCGTGGACACTGCTTATTTTCGTTGGCAGTCCTGAACAAGTGAAGGAATTTCCACATTCCTATGGCAGAAGCCAGTCTCTCCACAGAACCGTTGTTTTTTTTTCTAGATTATCAACACTTGAATTTCCCTGGACTCCTCATAGCAGAGTTAATGGCAAGATTGTGCATGGTACACATTTTGTTTTCATCCACAGTTTTCATATGCAAGTCTTTTTTCAGTGATGCGTATTTTATACAAAACCGACCACCTTCAGTTTCAGGTGGGATACGGCACAATGTATTTGCGATAGTGCCAAGATGTCATCTCTTGATTTGCTTGCGTTGAGTTCTTTATTGTAAAATGGAGGCCAGTTGCTTGCAGCTTCGCAAACAGCCGCAGCCCTGCAGAGCAACAAACGTGCTGCCTCTGAGTGTATCGCGCTTTGTTTGCAGTTACACAAAACACGCGCCTGAAATGGAACGGTCATAGAGGGGAAACATAGAGGTTTATGCACAAATGAAATGAGAGCCATACTATTGTATGCATTTGGCCATGATAAATGTTGATTTTTTTTCCATTTATTGTAAGCTTTTATTATTTATATGCCCTGTGCATTGAATGACATTGAGATTAAATGACAAATTCTTCGTATACATCACATGTAATGTGCAGCCATTAGTTAATCCAATGCTGGATGAGGACCGACATGGTACAGAGACTGCTTGACCATACTGCACCACGCTGTGTGGGTTGTGAAGGGAGGAGGCCCAAAGACCGGTTCGGATATCACTCGGTTCTTGGCCCTGGCCAAGAATCTAATTCAGGTCCGTTGGCACTGTGCCACCACTCCATCCTCATTACAAGTACATGCACAGCCTATGTTGCCAATCCCCTGATGAATGAGGGCCTCCCCCATGCCCTGCGGGTCGTGAGGGATAGTTGATTATATTTACCGTGGTGGTCAGTGAAAGTGAGTGAAGTTGGGGGGGGAGTACAAAACAAAAATGCATTTTTCAACGCTGTCCTCTACTGCCCACATCGCTTGTTACGCGATCCAGGCTCAAGCTGATGAGCTTCCGAGATCTGATGAGATCGGGCACATTCTGTGTGATTTTGTCGAGGAAGCCACGGAAAACACCAAAATCTGGCATTTTTATAAATGGTTGATTTAATTACTGACAGCATATACAGGGTTATAGCTGCGGAGGCAAACATTGATTTGTTACAGTTACAGGGCTAATGACATTATTGCCATGCCACACTCACATGTCTGCTGTGCATGTGCTAAATGAATTGTTTCACAGTTACTCATGAGGCAATCAACTCTAATTCCTCAGCACACATTAATATGAAGAGCATGAGAGAACATGTGCAGCATATAAAGGGACTAAAGAGCAGTGCTGTACTTTGCATTCCCTGATCTGTGGTACTTTCAAATTGTCCTGTAGAGAGCATCTTAGATTACATCCGTACTGCATGGTACATTTAAATTGTAATTGCACTGGGAATCAGTATTATTTGAAATCTAATAGAGACGTTGTAACCGTGGTTGGCATTCCCTTATGGTCGTTGGCACTGTGGTTCGGGTGCCTGCAGCAACATTGCGGGATCAGAGGTGTAAAGACGGGGCCTACAAACTTCCCAAAGGGGGCAGGGATGATGGAACACAAAAATGGTCTCGGACTTTTAAGAAGATCAACCTGTCACCTTGACCGAAGCCGTTGGTGCCACCCCACCTCGCCAGTGCTTTCTTCATTCCACCAGATCCTGCAGCTGCTGCACAGTATTACTTTTTTTCACTGAGTCTCAAGAGGGTCCTGCTAAGTATTCGAAGTATGAGGTGACGTTGCTGCTATGTGTAATCCCAATTTAAAACAATAAAATAAATATTTTATTTTACCAGGTAAGGCCCACTGAGCTATATTGCTCGTTTTCAGAAGCGACCTGGTCATAAACGATAGCTCAACGAAGTGGCTTATCACGTGTAAATTGATAGGAGCCTAATACTTGAAACGCATGTTTCTATATATGGAGGGAAAAACCAGAGGACCCAGAGAACATACAAACTCCGCTCAGACAGGCACCCAAGGAAAGAAACAAGCCCAGGTACTTCTTCCTGTGAGGCCACAAGCGTTACGACCATCCCATCCTGCCGCCCAAAAGTTGACACACAAGATGACAGCGGCCCTAAACATTATTGGGGAGGTGGTGCAAGTGCCCTTTTTTGCCAGGTGCCTTGGGCACGCCTCTGTTCTTAGCCCACAGTGAATGGGACGTATTGCTATGGGGTGGGTACCAGCCTCTGTTTGTGACAGCCACTGGTGACGTCCCACAGCTCAGCAGGCGGTGCTCGTTATACCGGCGCTGCAGGGACGATTGCCTGAATTGGCTTTGACCAGGCTTTGAACGCACGACCTTGCCACGATGAGCCCATGGCTCACAGTGTCTGAACTGAACCGTGATCCGTAAAGACTAATAGAAGCATGAGTTGACAGAAAACCACATACAGAGGAATCAAGTGGGCCATGTAATAAAGATCAACCTTGTTAGTGAGCAATGACTCCTTAATTATCTGGGGCACGCACACTGAGGTGGAACCAAAACAGTCGCGAACCTCAAATATACACAGCGTGTATGCGGAGATGCACACACTTACTTTGGATCTCTCGCTAATTGAGTGTAGCTGCACCGTGTTTTAAACAACATCCATTTAGCATCACAAATGAAGGCACAATCAAGGCACAATGCAATCTAATTGCCAATTTTGACATTTGTCTGTACTTTTGATTACCTGTTCTAGAATGCTATAAAATGCTAAATATAGTATTGTTACTGTAAAAAATGATTGTCACATTTTAAATCTAAATAGAGTGCAGTATTAAAGTCCGTTCCCTTTATGTCATATACTGCACGATATACAGACCAAATTGAAATGGTGTCTATGCTAAGATGAGCGGTGGGTGGGGTTCTTCTCCTTTGGCAGCCCTGAGCCAGTGGTGGAAGTTCCACATTCTTCTGGTGGGGTTCATTACCTTGCATGGGACAACCCATGCTACTGGGGACTGGATAGGGTTTCGCGGTTGTGCTGCATCGCTCTACAATGTCCGACGTTTCTCTCCACATGCCAGAAGCTTCTTCAACAACTAAACTCAAGAAGTAAGGTTGCCAACTCTACTCCTGGATTGGCCAGGAGTCTCAACCGAAATTGGCATCGGTATCCCAGTGATGATTAAAAGAAATCCGGGGAATGATAATAAAACCAACAAAAAATTTGTTTTATTTAACCAGGTAAGGCCCACTAATTTATGTAGCTCTTTTTCACAAGAGACCTGGCCACAAATAATTGCTCAACAAAGTGACTTATGTGGAAATATATCGCAGCCAAATACTCTAAACGCATGTTTCTAAATGTGGAGGGAAAAACTAGAGGACCCAGAGAAAAATCCCCACGACCGCGGAAAAAGAGAGACATGCAAACTCCAAATATATAGCATGCGTTAGGGTCAAGGTTGAATGCACCACCTCCAGCATACCAGGCGACGTAGTTAACATTTTTTCACCATGGCGCAGAGAATAAATTAAAGCCAAAAAAAATCCCATAATAGTTTCAGTCTGAGTTGCCAACTCTACGAAGAACAAGAACAGAAAAAAAGCTTCTAGTACGTTGAGTGGAACGTCGAGCGAAACATGAGACCTATAATGGCGAACATGCGGCACAGCCCGAAAACATAGCGGAGAGGAGAACCACATATTATACCATATTCTATAATATATGATCACTGCATAAGACTTGTGGTCGGTGCACTCAACTACTCCTGCAGTTGCCCGGTAATGTAATGTTTGGGGAATTACCATACCGAAATGACTAATGTTAGCACACATTAGACATGCGACATTAACATTAAAATCCTGTTACATTTTGTGCTGCAGTAAAACATAATTACCCATAACTAACGATGAAATAAATAGTTGATAGATTTCATTTATTCATATTTCTTCACAAATGACCTGCTGAGTATTGATGCACTTTCATCTAGTTAAAATAAAGGAGTCGATTGATTTGTCCTTTTTTCTCTCAAACAAGCTGTGAATCTCAACAGTGCCACGTGAGAATGAGGTCAAGGGCCAGTCTCAGGGCTATTGGGTCAAGGTCAGAGTGCACGCACAGATGTTTCGTACGAATAATAGTCAAAGTGATTCCCCACAGTTGCTTACCAAAGCGACGGTTAGAGCTCGCAGAATGTTTCGTTAAAAGTCCGTTGTAAGTTGGCATCATCTGACTTTGAAAGTCTGTAGTAAGTCCGCATCATCTGACTTTGCCTACACTGCCATTATATATACAGTGTATAAATAATTCACGAGTGTCCGTCCATCACACTCTGTATCTCGCACACAGTTCAGAGCACGAAAATGAAACAGGAACACAAAACAAATGTTTCTCTTGACGAGGACATGTGCCCAATGAACAACATTTTGCCCCCGTTATTTCCAAAACTGTACGTCTGAATCAAACCAATGGCGGCCAATTTCTGATGGCTTCCCCATTGATTTACGTTGAAACACGATGTTTACGCACGACGTCATCGTTCCTTAATCCACGAGAATAGCTTCACCGCGGTGACGTCACCCTATAGGGCTGACAGGCGATGGGTGCCGACGTAGCGATGGCACTTGACGCCGACACCGTACGCAATCGCGACGCGGGGTTATTATCCCTCGCAAATGCGCAGGCAGTGCTCGTTATGACAGTGAGACTGCTCGTGGAAGATGATGTCAAATAATCAAGCATGCAGCCACGAGCATACATGAAACGTGAGTTTTCATAGCTCTGCAAAGATCCACGTGTGTTGTTGGGCTCAGTTACGTGGTAGTTTCGTGCCAAATGTCATGTCATGAACCCTCCACCACCCACCACGATTGTCACGTTTAGAAATATATTATTCGTAGGTGCCGATGTATCAATCAAATTACGTCCAATATATGTCATGATAAATCTTCAGCCACCAGTGAGGAGCTTTATTGGTCAGGATTTGATCGACACATTGGCCACATCTAAATAATATCTTTGTGAACGTGAAAATCGTGACAGTTGGTGGAGGGTTGATGAAAATAATGTTGGTGTTAAACTAACACCAAGTGGCTTAACCCAAAAACAAATATGGATCAGGGTACTCACATGTTCAAGTGCTGTAGTGTTTTTCATTTCTCATTCATAAATATACAGCCATTGCATTGAATATACAGACACTGTCACTCTGAATAGAACCAAGCATAGCATTTGTGTTGAATACAGTAAGAGTCATTTGCAGCCCTTTGTCAATTCTTGGCTGGATAAATACTTGATCATACTTCACCGCTCTGGTCAGTGCAGATTTGTGAATTGGGCACCAGGACTGGTTTCAAATATCGCTCATTAGCCACTAGCTGTGGCCGGGACTCAAACTCAGGTCACTGGGTTCGAAATGCATTGTGTTAACCATTGCACCGCAGTTCTGCCAAATTTTAAGATGCATATAAATGTGCAGTAATGTTTAATTCTTGTTTAGCACTCTGTAAATGTGTGGATCTTTACGTAGTTTTAACTCAAGGTAAAAAGTCCGTTTACCTTTTATTTTGCATCTCCACCTACATTATTAATGTCATTGTTAAAAAAAAATCAGAACGGATGTTAAATTTATTTTGTTTACATGGTGATATTTTATTTTTAATTATAATCGGTTTGTTGTATGACACGATATCATGTATGTGCATTACAATGATTCAAGGTGACCAGTATTGCCATCTTTACTTCACCATAGCTGAAGGGAACTGGGAATAAATATCAATTATTTAGCTGCATTTAGCTTTAAATACATATTATATCAACAGTTATGTTATGTGATGCTGATCACGAGCCTGCTGGTGTACGTTGATCGGTAGCTTTTGGGCTTTATATTGAGCAGGTACAATGGGTACATCATCTAATAAGTTATAGTCTAGGGCTATAGGCCAATCAGTGGAAGCTCTTTGGACATATCAGCAATTCAAATTCAGTGTCTGCTTGAGTTCGCTGTTAAAATTCCACATTCCTATAGTAGATACCGATCTTGCCATAGCACAACCATTGTTGACTTCTCACAAATGGATACTCATTTCAGTAATCTCAGAAGAGCTATGAGCTGCATCTGCCCCTGACAAGCATTGACCATGCATCCAAATGCTCTCGGCACAGTGCCACTCGGATAATAATATAGCAGAAATTTATCTTGAATACATTTGAAAACATTGCTTTAAACACTGATATTTTTTACAAGTTTTCCCATTAAAATTAGCTCAATCATACATTAATGCATTTCTTTCTAACCTGTATGTGATAAAAAAAAATGACATTATCATTGATACACCACCAGCATGTCACATCTAATATATATTTGCTTAAAATACATTCCCTAAATGTGATAACATCTGATATTGACCAATTATTACAAATAAATACCACTAAACTGTTATTTGCATTTAATGCCAGTTGATTCTATTTCTCAATTCGTGCTAATTGCCAAAGCTCTTAAGTTTCGAGTACAGTAATTGATTGTTATTTTAGCTTTTGTCAATATCTTATACACACTTAAAATGTTGTAACAAAATACAAAAAATATCATCATTATATAACTTTAAATACATTCTACATTTACCATGTGTCCAATATGTCAGGTATCAGAGCTTTTGATCACCAACAATAATTTTTGTTCACCTATATACAACACGTCTTTTTTATTTTTACTTCTTGTTTTTGAAACGTTATTTACAGATTTGTTAAACTTACATAAAGCAAAGTTGTATGTGCATGTGATATCAACAGATTACTCATATAAAATGTAAATGTATTGATAGTTATTCCATTGAAATATGTAGTCATTGTCATATATGAAAATTAAAATGACACTGGCAATTTACATTTCATCTTAATTACTTTTATCTGGCTATAGGTCACTGCGTATTTTTGTCATTTTTACTATGATAACATTGTGTATTCGTTGTGTACTGAATACTACATCTGTTTAATGCGTAACCACAGCTTGGCAGATACATTTGTGTTTGGTACAAAGTTGAATGTGCTCTATTGGGTTGTGATAATGTTGCATGTCTCTTAAGTTATTTGTACGTATGCATAATTGTTGCAAAAATGAAATTCGAATCCTGTTTAAGTAACGCCGATCTTCATTCCTGCTAGGTTTCTGCCCTGAAAGAATTTGTCATCTAAAAGTCTCGTTCTTTTTGGCATTCTAACAACACACGGTTACGTACGTTCTACTGCATGTTTCATAACATGGGCACTTACGCTGGGAAAAACAGGCAGCTGCATGAGTTAACATCCGACGAATAATTGGGCTTGCATCCTTATAGTAAAATAAGGATAACAAAAATAAAACCAGTAGGTCAAAAAGAAAACATAACATGGCTCTACCGTTTGAAATTCTGTGTGTGTCTCACGACTATGGGATGCCTCTATGACATTGGAAGTGTACGTGAATGTCTCCAAGGCCATTCCTTTCCACTGCATATCACATTTGACAAAACACCTAATGAAGAAATGCGCAAAATGAAAAAAAAATGTGCACGAAACATTGTTGATTCTCAAATTACAATATTGTATAATTACAGTAATTCGATTTTAAACCTTAAAACATTAACATAACGATGTATAGCAACATTATTTATGATTTTTGTTGAACTTGTTTCATAGCTGTGATGACAGTACGTATGCGTTGCTGTTCTTAGTGCGATATGCTCATGTTATGAACCCACCCGCTGGCTTATGAAATCTACCACATCTAAGTAGCACCCGTATGTCTTTCATATCATAAAAGCAAGCGTTTAAGTTGTTCGCTTTGAATTACGTACGATGTATATATTATATTCCCAGAATCTGGATCCTCAAGAGCTTAGCAAGTTATAGTTTAGACGTGACATTTGTGTTTGAGGAAACAACCTCGAGTGCAAACGTCGGCAAACAATAACGCAGGGATGTTCTGTTGAATGATAAAAAAAAAATTTATGTTGCTCCCCCCCACAACCCCCTCTATTGACAGAAAAAGGTTTTCGCTATTTTATTGCAATTGGCCTCATGATGTATCAGTCATCTTGTAACCATGTGTTGCAATAATACATATAACAAAACATCACGCACCGCTTTGGCAAAAATATTAAGGCCTTGAATTAAAAATGTGCAAAAACCAAGTTTTTATATGAAAACTAAAAAAAATCACGTTTTTCCGGGAAGGTTTTGTGTGCATAGCGCTTTTGTAAAAAAAAAACAGCTGCATTATTACAGCCAGTAGGTAGAATTTTATAAAACAAGAAACCAGTGCCAGTCAAATGAAAGTTAACTTACTATAGTTTGCTATTAAGACCAAACCAATTTATTTTAATTGCAACAAAATTTGGGTAATCACCATTATCGTCATCTCTCTGTTAAACCATATTAGATTACATAGATTAGTGATAAATGTATATTGCCTTTTTACAGGATGTTAATGACCTTTCTTAATACTTATATAGCATATGTTACCATTCTTGTACATTGAATGTTCACAAATATAATAAACTTTTATTTCTGAAAAAAATTAGCGTACGCGTGTATTTATTTGCATTTCGTGTGTGGGTGCTGTTACGGGTCGGGAGCTTTGTAAACGCTTGGAGGTGTGGGGGAGTCGATCAAACTGCGTTGGCTGTCTGGGATGTGGGCAATGCATTGCGAGATGTTAACTAACTCGCCTGGTATACAGGAGGTCGTGGGTTCGATTCTGACCCTGTCGCCTATATGTTTGGAGTTTGCGTGTTCCTCCATGGTCATGTGGATTTTCTCCGGGTCCTCCAGTTTTTCCCTCCACATAGAAACATGCGTTTAGAGTATGTGGCTGATACGATATATTTCCACGTGATAAGCCACTTTAATTTGGGCTATCATTTGTGGCCAAGTCACTTTTGAAAAAGAGCTATATAGCTCAGTGGTCCGTACCTCGTAAAAAAAGTTTTTGTATGTATTATTTATAAAACTTTGACTTAAAGCTTTCGTGTCTGCAGTAATTCATACTCTTTAGGTATTTCGGTAACTTTAACGAAAGACCCAAAGAGTGTTTATTATTTATAGATTCACAACCCCAAAAACTTCAGCTGTGGCGCGATATAAAACCTCACATTGTTGATGACTTTCCACAGACTAACTTCAGCAGAGGTCTACAAGAAATGAACATGCGTGGCCACCGAGGATGGCTACCACATGGCTCGGTGATGAAGCACTCGCTGAACGAACGCACTGCCCAGGATGCGCACGGTTTTCTGCTTGTTTCAGAGGCTCGTAGCTTGACTCCTGACTTGCCCAGCAACCATGGGTGGATCGGTCGTCCCTTGCCCGAACTGCCACACCGATACCAGGGTGGAACTCCGTTCCATAGAAACGGCTTCGATCGATACATGCATAAATATAAATCTAGCTTAATGCGCATAATAAGCGAATGCACGCTGGCGCCAAATTTACATCGATCGAGATCAGTATTCTTCTCATCCTCAAATATCAAAACAATAAAATGCGTTTAGTGAGCTTCATGAGTGTGAGTCACATAAAATTACAGTAAAATTGCAACTCCAACCAGTACAGAATCCAACTACATGAATGGTAGAGCTCCACGTACTGCTTTGTTTATTACAATATAAGGAAATGGAGAAAAGGCTGAAAGGTCCCAAAGAATCATGAAAGACATGTTGGACATTACACTGATAGACAAACATAGATTAAAAGGAGAGAACGTGCCCAAAAGGGTTGACCACGTGTGAGAACAAGCTGCATCATGGCATCACGGGTCAGTGAAGGATTGTGTCAGTGTTCAGCAGTGGAGAGATCGTGGCTGATAATGTTGATGACAAAAAAGTAAGCATCTGTTTCAGCTCGACAAAAAAAGATCAATCCCCTAGATGCCTGTAAACAAACATAGTATTGTCCTGTATGTGTGGCTTTCATCCAGGAAATCCAGCAAACCTTTCCACATTATATTTTCCATGCCATGTGTGGCCTTCAGAAATCCTGCAAGTTTCTTATTTTAAACTTTCTAGGTTATTTTTGTATGTTTTTTTTGTAAAACATGACCGTTTTTTATGTTTTCTAAATGTAATCTCATTTGTTTAGTGCATTGTTTTATACGTTTAATATTTGCTATACTCTCCTGATGCTGCATTTATGTTGATGCAGGTGATATTAAAAAAATGACCGCAGTCTCAGCGAGTTCTCAACTAACTGAAATGGTCGACATGGTGGAGGAAGGCATTCATCGAGTAGTGGTTTTATGGTGAGCTTTGTTTTTTTTAATCCAATTTAATCCTTATACGTATGCCAAGTACGGCATACGTATATGTTTTCAGGGAAAAACGTGACCTTGGTAGTAAAGCCTTATACTAGACAAAATATATATGGTTTACATATCCCATCAGCCACATGGCCTTCTGGGAGAGTATTATCAGCAAATGTTGGGTCAACACACGTAAAAAACTCTGGATCAGTTTTGACATTGAGAGTCTCATGAGGAGAGAATTTTGGTTTAATAATTGGTGGTTGTGCTGATGTTAACCTAGGATCTAAGTGGCGTTGGCTCCGTGCTAAGACTTGAGGATTCGCCTCCCCGAGCCACGTGGCCATTTCCTTCAGCACCCTTCTCACACAACGCCTCTCAATAGCCTGCAGTGTGCTGAGCCCTCTGGAGACGGTCTACAATTCACACCCCACCCCCCATGCAACCTCATGGACATCACAAGTACAACGAAGGCTGCAAATCCTCATAAACAACCCTGAGAATCTGTCACGGCGTCTAAAAAATCAGTGCAACATACGCGCCGAACGATCGACACCGTTCGTTTAACACGCAGGATTTCACAGCAAATATGATTGATAATTGATTTGTGGGTTAGGCCACCATGCTGAATTTGGTCGTGAGACTTTTCTCTTCAACTTACCAATGAGCTGCTACAGTAATAATAATTGATGCATTAAATGCTTTGTACACCGCGTGACAATGTAATTTGTTTGGCTCTGTCGCCATGGCAAGAGGGTCTTAACCAGACAAATTTGGTCAGATCATTGCGAGGCCGAAATCAACAAAATTCCCTCGTGAGTTGCAACCTTTAAGTGTTGAAGCCTCGCCGGGCTGCTGGCCGCCTCTCATCGCAGACAATGTGTAGTGAACTTGTGCATTCATCCTAGGAGCATGAATTACGATATATAAAATAAAGTATTATTATGAGGAATATTTCTTTGATTGACTGCCCTCTCTGATGGTGCACTCCCACCCTTGCTTGTCTGCATTAGTTTTTTTTTATTTGATTCAAAATTTGCTTGAGATGGGTTTCAATTCATTGGAAACTGTAATGTATACTACACCTTATCTTGGAAATTGTCACTGGAATGGTTGTTAGAGTTTATAAATCAGATGTGGCAGCCTCTACTTTGTGCCACTGGAGAGAACATTCAATTAACATTTTTTTTAGTTTTAATCTTTTCATTTTTTGTTTACCCAAGAAAGTTTCACTGAATCTCAAACCACTCTCTTTTTACGGAGGCCATAATATGGGGCGATATTGCCCGTTGTTATCCCAATCGAGTCGATTAATATTTGGCTGATATAAATGTCCACATGAATAGCCACTTCACACTCATGACACACAAAGTGCTTGCCACAATAAACCACAATACCTTGCTGGTCTCGTCAATGAGCTTTCTGTCGCCCCCTAACTACGACCAGTCCTATCCCAAACTCCCTATCAATCCCTCTTGTTTTACTGCATCAAAACTACACCACTACTTACAATAGCCCAATTCTTTATTTTAAATTATTATCAGGCTATGTACAATTGTATAATTGCTGTAAAGCACCTTGATAAAGGCGATAAATAAATCTAGTTAAGATAAGTTAAGATAAATCATCATGCGAATTCCGGTCATCCTCACATAGGCTTTTGGCTGGCCATCGAACAAAGACGGTCTCTGCATTGCGTGCGTTAATACACACTTCTGCGGCCGTCTGGAACACTCTTCATTCCGATATTAGCAAGCCACTGGAGCTATGCACTTTTAAATCATCTAGATTGAAAACAAATTTCTTCAGAACTGATTTTTACGTTTAGTTTGTTTCCCTCCCCCCGCATCTTCGATTAACACGGTTGGCTACGTACATACATACATACATACGTGCATACATCGCTGAGCTATCACTAGTGGCCAGGTCGCTTCTGCAAAAGAGCTATATAGCTCAGTTGACCTTACCTGGTAAAATAAAAAAAATCGGTGAACAGGAGGAACACGCAGGCTTGTGCACTACCACTGCACCACCCTCCCGCTACTGTGGGTTTGATTTACATCTCATCTCTGACTGCTGCCACGGCTGCAATATCACGATCATGTCGCATCTTCTCTCCAATTGGCCGCGTGCTATACATTAATACGCCAAGCATTGTGGTCGATACAATTAAAATTGACTCTAATGACAAAAATACATTGCACTTATGTTATTGTTGCTTTATTAAAATGTGCTGACATTGCAGTGATATTTGGATGAGGTGCATCAATAGGGTGCAAAGACAAACAATGCTTCTGTGCTATAATCAATGTCATAATCAATAGCGATACATTTTGCTTTGTTCAAAAACGTAGTGACCAGACACACCCAGGAGGGAAAAGCTGCTTGCGTTATGTAATGAATTAAAACGCTGTAGTGCTATACAGGTCATGTTAGTTTTCAAGCCACTTACAAAACACATGGAAGAAGAATGCACCAACGTTGCAAAGACAATTAATATATTATCAGACCGTGTGTGTCTGCATATTCCCCACAATGTACGTGTGGTTATTGCAGATTTGGTTCCTTGCAAACGGTATCTATTTGGTGTTTGAACATATTAACACCTTGACTTAAAGCTTTCGTGACTGCAGAAATTAATATTCTTTGGGTCTTTCGGTAAAGCCACGTAGATAGAAAAAAATATGAGCAAACACAAGATCCATGTTCGATTCAACACAGTACATACAATTCGTGATCTGATCCCATCTGTGAAGGATGTGATCCCTGACATGCAATACCCCGGCGTCTACAAACTAAGCTGTGTCTGCGGCAGTAGTTACATTGTGGAAACTAAGCAACATGTCTCGGACCGTGTTCGTGAACATAAGGACAGATCTGAAACACGATAGGACCAATACCTCAGCCGTGGTTGATAATTGTTTAAATGCTGTGGGCACACACGAAATTGATTTTTCCAAGACGAAGGTACTCTGGAAACCCACTGTCTACCAGCAAAGATTCGTTCATGAAGCCATCCATATATATGTAGTGTTGTAAAGGACGGACTTCTAAACTTCTTTATGGCACACACTGTTAATTGTCTTAATACACAGTCCCTATCACACAAAGGGGTATATGGTCCCCTCACCCGTTACCCTGAGGAGGTACAGCCTCCGGACCTTGTGCAGCTCCACACTCACGCTTAGCTCCTATTCTAATGAGGTACAGCCTCCGGACCTTGCAGGCTATCTAATCTCCCTGCTATCCCAGTGTCCTCTGGCTGAAC